ATACATATAGTCACGGGACATGGAGTAGAGAGTAGGAATGGAGTCAATGGAATTGTAATAGATAAGCATGATATCGGGGGTGGGAGGGCAGTAGATGGGGGAGGGGGGTTGTTACTTTGTGAGGGTAAAAAGGATAACTATTGCATTGTTCTGTACACCTGAAACTAACAATAAACATTTTTTTAAAAATTAAAAATTAAAAAATAAATGAAAGGGTTTGCTGAAGGAATTGGGATGGAGGTGATGAAGGCAGAAGAATCGGGCATACTCACGGATTCTCAGCTTGAGCTACTCCAGTGCCACTTATACATTTGGGGAAGGCAGGAGAAGGTGAAATTTAGGGCAATGAGGAAGGAAGATGTTATGGGTTGAACTGTGTCCCCCCGAAAAGACAGACTGAAATCCTCATCCCCAGCACCTCAGAATGCGACCTTATTTGGAAATAGGCTTTTTGCAGGTGTACTTAGTCAAGGTGAAATGAGGGCCTGCTGGAGAAGGGTGAGCCTTTACTCCAATGTGACTGGTGTCCTTATAAGAAGAGGGATGTTTGGACACAGAAGCAGAGACACGCAGAAAGGCGAGCACCATGTAAAGACACAGACACTCAAGGAAGACAGGGCAGAGACTGGAGTGATGTGTCTCCAAGTCAAGGGCTGCCACGGATTGCCAGCCACTGGGAGAAACGACGGGAGAGGCACGGGAACGATTCTCTCCCAGAGCCCTCGGAACCAATCTTGAGGACACCCATATTTCGGACCTCTAGTCTCCAGAACTGGGAGAGAATATATTTCTGTCATTTTAAGCCACCCAGTCTGTGGTCCTCTGTTAGGGCAGCCAGGGGACTCTCTTACAGAAGAGAATAAGGATTTTTGTGGGGGCCTTGTGATGTCTGTCTGAGGAATCTCCTAGACATCCATATGGAGAGCTCCAGTAGCAATTGGATATATGAGTCTAGAATTACGTTATATAAAGCGATGCATTGTACTTTATTGAAGTACTTTATATGAGATATAAAATATGACATCTAAAGTGATGGCCTCAAAAGGGAGAAACCATTACATGAATGATGGTACACACATTTCATGAAATATTATGCTGCCTCTAAAGAGACTCATTATAAAAACTAGGTAGCAACCTGGAAAATGCTTACGATAAGGTTTAAACACATGAAGCCAGTGATGGCCACTGTGGAATAACTGTCTGGATGCGAAGCAGGTGTCAAGCTCTCTGTGTTCACATCCCAGCTCCAGCTCTTCGGAATGGCCTGGGATCCGTTGCACATTACTGTATCCTGCAGGTGATGTTTGTTCAATATATTTGTGGTGCCAGGGGAAGTGAACACAAGGCTGAATTGGAAAGTGTTGAGATGGCAGAGTAAAGGAGCAATGAGAGA